TCCAAAAGCCCAGGGCAACTGTAGAGCAGGGCTGTTGCCTATAGATGGTCCTGTATAACTTACATTAGTGCTGTCAATAAGAGGAGGAGAAAATGAGGAGAAAAAAAAAATCCTCCACTGCCCCTGTGCCTGATACCACTATAACAGGACAGCTGGTCTGAAACTGCATTTTTCCTACCTAGCTTCTGGACAAGATCTGACAACACGTACTTAACAAGGTTGCGGAGGCTCAGCAGTCTCCATCAAAAGCCCCCTGGTCTCATGACTGCGAAGCACTTATTTAGCAGTAGACCAGGAACAACACCCAGAAAGTCCTTCTCTGCCATGACCTACAACCCAAGCCTTTGCTGTGTGGAGAAAAGAATACTGTTACCAATCCATATGTCTCTCACAACCTCCCCACACAAGTGCACTAGCGCACGCGCACACACACACACACACACACACACACACACACACACACTCTCCAGCCCCTGCTTACCAACTCCTGCACCTACTGCACTTTCCAAGAGTTCCCTTATTGTGAAATCAACAGCCCTTCCTGTTCTGGTAGCTCTTCCCATTTTCCTTCCTACAATTCACCCAAGCTTAAAAATAATTTTCAGCAAGTCTTCTCACCCTCTCCCCACAATCCCCAGCTCATTTTTCCATTTGTAACAGAGATGTTCCAATACCAACCCTCACTTCTGGCAATACCAGCTCAGATCACATGTCCCCACCACAATTGGCTTCCCATCACTATTGGCTCTGAGATTACCTTGAAAGAGGACAACAGAACAACACTGTGGAGTTTCCCGCCCTGCTCAATTCTACACTACAAAGTGTCCCAAATCTATAGCCAAATTCTACACAAAATCTAAGCAGTGCACTTAATCTATTCAGCTATGCCCCTACTGCTATACTCTCAGCTGATCAGAGTATAGACAAATCATCTTATATATCCCCATGTATACCCCAAATCCTCCTTTTACCTTAAATGGTCAGAAGCCCAATTTCCCATCCTTAGCTATGATTTACATCATTCTTTCTGACATGGCTTAATTTATAAAGTATTACTTTATATCCATAGCTCTTAGAACCATAATTGAATAATTTTTGTGTCATTGTGTACGATTCTTAAAATGTCATCCTCACCTGCCCTGCCACAGAACAAGGACCTTATCGGTTCTGTTAAACAGTAACAAATAAACAGTAAACAGTAAACCCAGTGTCTAGCATATAAGAGGCACTAAATAAACATCTGTTAAATGTAGAGGGAATGAAAAGCAAACCTCTCATCTATCAGCCTTAGAAACAGCCTTGATGGGCTTATCACAGTTCAATGGTAACCAAAGCCAGCTTGCCAAATAATTTTATTTCTTTTACTGACAGAGTTCTGAAATCAATAATCCTAGGTGGGTAAAAGCATGGATTCCTCTTCTGTACATTCCTTAAGTACTTAGGACAAAGTACTCACCTCAAGTGGATGAGACCCAGCACTTGTTGAACTAGAAAGGCAAAGGGTGACTATGGTTTACTTGAGAAGGAAAAGCAAAATCAGGCCAAGACAAGGAACTACACAAGGAATTGCAGTGATGTTATCATCAGTCATACCAAGATCACAAATGACTCTGGGATGCACAGATTCTCATTCCAGCGCAGCTCTCCTGGTAGAGCTAGCCTCAAAGTTGTTCAGTTTCTACTTTCTCTAAACTTAAAAGAAGGGTGATGACTCCCCAAGATAGGTGGGGACTTCTACAAACGCCTGAAATCTAGATCACTTCAGCAAACTCCCTGACCCATTTTTTCAAAACACTTGCACAAAGGATTCTGGAAAGAAAGGGCAGATGGGACACTAACAAAAATACTAAGTCTTATTAACTGGTCTTCCATGTGCCATCTTTCAGTTTGGACAGAAATAATCTATTCCTCATTCATCCTGAAGAATTAGTAAAAAAAAAAAATATTTTCCACCTTTACTTGTGTCATTTTAAACAATTAAGCATCAAAGAGATAAATGGATGAATGAATGACAGCATCCTACAGTTCAAGAACAAGATTTCATGGAGCACTTCTCTCAACCAAAAAACAAGTCTACTTTTAACCATCCCAGAAATGGAATTTGTCTCCTTCCTAGGAGGCTGGCCATCAGAAATAGCCACAGAAAATCCCTAATACTGGGATACTCCCACACTTTTCTCTCCTTTGAGGCAATAGAATTGAAGAGCAAACTCTGTCTGACCTCAAGGTCAGCTTGCTGTGCTACTTTTATCACCCAAGGTACCACAGGAGGATTGAAAAATAAGATTCTGAGCCAGGCATAGTGGTGCACACCTGTAATCCCAGTGGCTCAAGAGGCTAAGGCAGGAGGATATCTGGCTTGAGGCCACTCTCAGCAACTCAGGGAGGCTTTAAGCAAATGAGTGAGATCCAGTCTCAAAAAATAAAAAGGGCTGGGGTTGTGGCTCAGTGGTTAAGTGCCCTTGGGTTCAATCCCAGGAACCAAAAATAAATAATTTTTAAAAAATAAGATTCTAAGATGCTGGTGTTTCCTATTGAAGTCTCTTCTGACGTTATTATTCAAACTCTTAAAGGTATTCTGTTCACTATAGAAGACTGCATACCTCCCCCTTCCTTCACAGGACACTGCAACTAAGCACGCATACAGACTGAAAATATCCAAACTGCACATGAAGGAGCCCAAACAGTACTAACAGCAACAAAAAATGCACCTGTTAATTCAAAACCACAACTTCCTTCTTGTAAATTTTTCTCACTTCAAAAAGTATTGCATCAGCTTCATGATCAACCTACTTCTAAATGGTTGTCTCAAAGGCCTCTTTTCACTTTGCATATTAAATTATTCAAAGGTCCAAAAATTTTACAAGGGGAATATAAAAGTAGATAATGATAAAAGCACTGAGCAGCTGAATACAAGGTTGAATTACTTTTTTTGTTTTCCAGAGTACCCACACTCAAAACTACTCAATACTCAATGGGAAACCCTTATTTCACTTTTTCAATGCAAAATCTTTTAGAAGCAAGCATGTTTCCAGCTGTAAAATCACTGCTATTCCTGTTCTACAAAAAAAAAAAAGTTCATTTCCACCACATATTTATCACAAATCCCAGAACATGATTTTACTCTGTAAATACTTTTAAAGCTGATTTGTTTTTATTTAAAAATAGCTAATTCCAAACTATGCATGAAATCCAAAAAATATATAATCCATAAAACTTTCTTGTCGGCATATTCTTCCAAGTGAAGTGGATATTACACTGTTTTTCCTTTGTTTTCCCTCTACCTTCTGCATAGGTGGTTATTTACAAGGCTATTAAAATATACATTGCAAACCAATTTTGATTTAATCATGTGTGCAATATTTCAGAATTATGATTAAGTATCATATTTTAGAGTGATATAACTGGTAAAATTTAAGAATCAGTAGCAGTAGCGTAGTGTGTGCGCCTCTCTCTCTCTCTCTCTCTCTCTCTCTCTCATACTCTCATTCACTCACTTGCACAAACACCAGGACAACCCAACCATAAATCAAGCAAAGATGCATTCAGCCACAGGGTGTGTTTGGGTGGTATTCATATGAGTAATCTTTTCCCACAATTTTTCATTTTTTTAATAAACATACACAATTTCATAATTTAAAGTTCTAAACTTGAAACTACTAGCACTTTGAAATCACTAGACAAACACCCCAGACACTATTTCAACTTAAAGCAACTCGGACAGCTAATATGTCCAAAGTCATGAAGGGGTAGGAAAAAAAAAAAAAAAAAACTGATGTATCTGTTAGCAAGGAATCTCGAGTTGCCCCCTTCTAATCAAGAAACTTCTCTCTGCTGTCACTGACTAAAATCTTTTCGCAGAAAGGTTGGATATGGCTATATCTGCACTTTATCCTCTGAAAATAATTTCTCCTCAAATTTCACAAGAGGTTGATACCATCCCTTACTGTATATTAAAACCTGACCATTCTCAACAGACCATCTCCTAGTGACCTAAACATGCCTAGGGGGAAATCACAGAACTCAAAACTGGAGTACTTTTTTAATGTGCAAACATCATCTGACATACTGGTTTCACTGGAGTAGCAGAGACAGATGAGTCAAATCAGAAAAGTTACTTGCAGACTAGAAACTGTCACCGCTACGTTTCAATCAGGGACAAACCCTGGCGACTCCGCCTTTGTCTGCCGGGCTGGGACTGGAGTCGGGCCGCTGACCCTGTCGGGCCGCCGGGGCAGCCAGGGCGAGCGGGAGCCAAGGACCGGGCATCTGCCCGCGAGCGGCGCGCCCGGAGCAGCGCAGCCCGCTTCAGACAGTCTAGTCTGCAGGGCCAAGGAGGTAACAATGAACCAAGCAGCCACTCGAGCTCCCCTTTCTCGCGTCGCCTCCGCCTCCCTAGCGCCCCTGGGCCAGGGCCGCCGCCCGCACCCACCGCGTGCCAGCCTCGACCCCCGGTACCTTCCCGGGAGCGGCACTGGGTGACTCGGGTTCCCGCACGCCCACTACCCTCCTGCGCACCAGAGACCCCCGCCCTACGCCGCACAAGGCTCCACCGGCCTCCTGCCAGGAGGGTCCCTCTGGCCAGGGGTCTGGGCAGGCCGCCGATGCGCCGCGTCCCTGTGGGCAGCCGGCCTCCACGAGACCCTCGTCTTTGTGTGAGAACTAAGTGCCGGGCCAACCTACCTCGGCGCGCACAAAGACGCGCGGCTCCCTCTCTGGCTCGCTGAGGGCGACCGCGGCAGCGCCCAGAGGCTTGGCTGCTCTGTGGCGGCCCGAGGTGGCGCGAGGGCGGCTCCGACGGCGGCTCCAACCGCGGATCCGACAGCCAGCCAGCTAGCGCGTCCGGCTCCGGGCGGCTCTCGCACCCTGCGGCCCCGCGCGTCCGAATTAAGTGGCGGGGCGGGCTGGGGGCGGGGCGAGACCATTGAGTCACCGCCAGGCCCCGCCCAAGAACGCCCTGGCCACACCCGCCACGCGCCCCGGCCACGCCCCCACTCCTGGCCCGAGTGGTCTGCGTGGACCCCAAGAGGAGTGCGACGGGTCTCAGATCCCATGCCGCGGGGAAATTCTGTTACTTTAGTTTGGTTGGTTTGGAGGACTCGCGAAAGAAGTGAGGCAATGTTTGAAGAAAAAGATCACGCGCCGCCAGATGAGAGAAAATTGGTAAGGTGACAGGCGCGCGTTCAGGGTTCCACAATAAGAGATTCTCTTTTTTCTCTTTCCCCACCCGCCCCCTTCATCTTTCTTTCTTCTTTTCTCCGTTTCTCTCTGGTCTCCCCTCTCCCTCTTCACTCGTCCCTCCCTCCTTTTCCCACTTTCTCTTTCTTGTTCCTTTTCTTATTCTCTCTCTCCCTCCCTCCTTTCTTCCCCTTGTTCTCTTTCTCTCACCACCTATTTCACACACACACTCTCATGAACGTGCGCGCGCGCACACGAACTCAAGCTGGGTATTTGGCCGCCCACGTCTGGGCTCCATCTCCGCTAATACCCTGTGATGTTGGGAGAGACTGTCCCCATTGAAATCCTGTCAGTACTTATCAGAAGAAAACTCAAAAGGAATTAGGAAAAGGAAACAGATTTGTCGCAATTATACAAATTCATTTTGACAATAATTTGGAGATTGACTCATGTACTTCCCCCCCCTCCCTTAATAAAAGGGTAATTGGAGATTTAAATTTATGTGCAAGAGAATAAATGTTTATTTTGCCTTTCTCTCTGAATTTCATTTTCTTCAGGTCCCCTACAGCAAGTTGCTTCCCTGGCCAACCCAAAGGTTCTAAGATTACCATCTATCTGAATCACAGCAGGTACATAAGCAGGATCTGTTTCAGAGTACAATAAGGACAGGGGTTTGATGCATTCTGGATCAAAAGGTTTTTAATTTTCATGGCAATGAATGACTAAGGGTTTATTCATTAGAAAACTTCTCTGACTAAATGAGCTTGGGTCATGATCACACAGAAAAGTCCTTCAATTAATGGATTTCAGTAAGCAAATTACTTAGGCTAAAGATATCTATCATTCACAATGCCACAGCCTCATAGCCTGGCCACCCTCAGACCCCAGAAGTCTGCTAAGGGGTAGAATCACCTGCAAAAGGATTTGCAGAGAGAAGCCCCTTCCCAGCCCAAGAAGCTGAGCTGTGAGAACTTCATTCAGAGTGTTTCCTACTATTTGATTCTTCCTTCCTCCCTGTCTTGTATTGTTTCTGTTCTAGACAGTAGCTCCACAAGCCATGAACCAGAACTTGGGATCCATTCTAGATTTTCTCTGCTTCCCCACATCAGTGTCAACTCTTAGTTCCTAACATTGTACATGATGTCTAGCTGTTCCCCTGTCTCAACCACCTGCACTACCGGGGTTACTTTATGCTATGTCACCACACTGGCAGGGCCTTCTAACCAGCCCTGTCTCCAATGTCACAAAGTATTTCCTCCCAACTGCTTCCTCAGCAAACTTTCTGAAACAAACTGCTCAGCTTCTTCTTGAGGAAGAAGGTGTCTCATTCCTACTCCATGATCAAGTCCAAGCTCTCCAGTGCAGTCTTCCAAAGTGCAACACACTTCTGTGACATCACTGCAACAAACTCTGTGTACTCTTCCTACATCCTGCAAACACCCAGACTGTGCAGTCACAGCACTTGCCAAATGGCCCTGCTCTGTGACTATGGAGCCTGGATGGAAAATGAGTAGGTCTGCTTGTATGCATTTCCACTTGCTTCTGCCCCTGCTCAGCATACCTCTACCCACCCCACCCCTACCTCCAACAGTCCTCCCCTCTTGGAGACTCGGGTACCTTTGAAAACCTTCCTATCCTGCTCAAACCAAATGGATCTTTTCTGCCCCTTCATACCAGCAAAGTATTGTAATTATTGCTCTGTATTGTAAATATGTACTCCCCTGAACATAGAGTTTGTGCTTGATATCTATACATCCTCATGCCTAGCATAGCATTTCACATATGGATTAAATTGTGTACCCCCCATAATTTTTAGATTGTGTGACCACATTTGGACAATAGATCTGTAAGGAGTTACTTAAGATAAAGTAAGATCATAAAGATGGGGCCTTAATTAGGGGGACTGGTGACTCCTTAATTCAGTAGGACTAATAACCTTATAAGAAGAGGAATAAATGCTAGATCTCTTGATCTCTGTCTCTCTTTTTCTATACACACACACACACACACACACACACACACACACAGGGAAGAGGAGGCTCACAGAAGCCATGTGAAGATACAGCAAGAAGACCTCACCAGAAACCAACCCTGCCAGCATATTGACCTTGGACTTCCAGCCTCTAGAACTGTGAGAAAATAAAATGTTTAAGCCACCAGTCTGTAGTATTCTGTTATGGCAACCCCATCCATCTAATAGAAAAAGCATGCTTTGAATTCTACCCTCAGTAAAGCACTATATTAGTCATCTTTTTAATCCTGTGACCAACATACCTGACATAAACAAAGGAAGAAAATTTTATTTTGGCTCACAGTTTCAGAGGTCTCAATCCATGGTTGGCTGACTCCCTTGCTTTGGACCTGTGATGAGGCAGAACATCATAGTGGAAGGATGCATGGCAAAGGAAAGCTGCCCAACTCATAATGGCATGGTGGGGGGCCAGGGACAAGATATAGTCCCTAAGGGCATGCCCCTAGTGACTCACTTCCTCTAACCATGCCCCTCTTGCCTACAGTTTCCATTTCTTCCCAGTAGTCCATTCAGATTATTAATCCATTAAATGATGAATTAATCCACCAATGAGGTTACAGACTTTATGATCCAATCACTTCCCAAAAGTTCCACCCCTGGACATCTCTGTATTGGGGCCATGTCTTTAACACATGAGTTTTGTGGGGGCATTCCATATCCAAACCATAACAAGCATTAACCTACCAGTGAGCTTGATTGTCCTCCCAAAGCAGCCTGGACAAACACCTGAGATACCAAGCCATGTGATAAGTGACCACACAGTGTTTCCCTGCCTTCTGAGAGAAAAGGAAACATGGTTTATTCTATAGTCTGAGAGAAAAATGCCCACAGACTCAAAGTCAACACTACCCGAACCCTAACTACCATAATTTTATTTAAAAAACAAATAAATGGAGAGGAAATGTTTACTTTGAATTTCTCAATTCAAATCTTTATTAAAATATAGCAGGCCAAATCCACCAATGTATTATGTCCACTGTTTGGGGCTGAATATTTTCCATCCCTAGGGAATCTTAGGGGAATTTTTATGGAGGATCCAATTTAATTTGGGAGCCTGGGAGCTTCTGTGAATACACCCTGGGAATAAGAACTTTAAGGCTATGTACTAAGTGGTTTTTTATCTCTACTCACCACAGTGCACAGAACAAAGTAGGTTTGTGACAGATGTTTGATGAATAAGACTTTTGATGAATAAGCATTTCAGGGCTCAGCTGGACTTTCCGAGGTGACTTCAGGTGATACCAGACTCTCAGTCTGAGTCCAATGCTCCATTGATTTCACATTCAGAATGTGGAAAGGACTCTGGATGGGTCAGGGAAACTAGTGGCCTAAGAACCTGCTGGACTATGTTAGGTTTTTGTTCCTAGACTGATGCAGTTAATCTAGAGGCATGGAGGGCCTCTAGGGTGTGACTTGCTTTCTCCAAGTGAAATACAAAAAAATACTCATCGGGATTGGTAGCTTAGTCACTTCGCCCATAGATTGTGTAATCTCAAATTACTGGAAAATGCATATAATTTTCTCTCTTAGAGCATTCATTCACAAGGTCATCCATATGCTAAGCTTTAACCTTGTCCTTTTGCTGTGACATCTGAATTTATTCTTAGAAAAATTGAAGAAGGCAGAAATGAACATTTGGGAACATAAAGTGGAGCAAAGCAAATCAATTTGAAATAAGGTATGTTCACTTCTATCTTCAACTTTGGTCATTTTCTCCATGCATAAATTTTGAAATTGTTAACTCTATCCCTAAGCATCATCTAGAGGAGCTCTAAAGAGATGAGATGAGGTTGACAGTGTCCTGGAGGAGTGAAGTCCATTTTCATACATGCATCCTTTTGTCCCTTAAATTTTGCTCTATATGTTGGACATCTGAATAAACAATAGCCCACTCAAAAAGACATACAATTTTCATTTTAAAATCATATTATGAAGCCTGTTCTTTAATATCATCTGTTTTCTATCACTGTATAACAAAACATCTCAAAACTTAGTTACTTAAAATCAAGAATAAATGATTTGCCCCCAGTACTGTGGATTGGCAGTGTAGATGGGGCTCAGCTGAGACATCTCTATTCTGCCCCTAAGTGACATCAGCTCAGTTTCTACCATGCATTTTTGCCACTTAGGAAGTTTGCCAGGGACTGGCTGGTCTGAGGTGGACTCAAAGTCAAGAAGCAGACTATCCTATGTTATGATGAAATGGACCCATCTTATCCATATGGGTATGGCTTGAGCATGACCTCCAAAAGTTCATGTGCTTGGAATACTGGGTCTTAGTGTGGCAGGAGGAGGTTATGAACTATTAAGAAGTGGAGCCTAACAGGAGAGCATTGTGGGCATATCCTCAGAAGGGATTCTCTCTGGCTTCATATTTCAAGAAGTCATCACTTCATCCCATACATATTCCCACTGAGGCAATGCCATCTGCCATTAGGCCCTGACTAAAGACCAAACACCAAACCAGGAGTACCTGATTCTGAACTTTCAGCCTCCAAAACTGTGAACTGAATAAACCTATTTGCTTGATAAGTAAGCCTGCCTCAGATACTTCATTATAGTAATGAAAAACTATCATTCAATGTAGTACTTAGATCGATACATGGTTGAATAAGTGGTACAAGATATATGTGCAGCACAGGCCAGACATCTTGGAGGCTAAACACACATCTTAGAATTCTAAACACACAATTATGAGTCTAGTTAAATGGAAAGGTAGGCACTGATTAGCATAAAATCTACAGAATGTGAGGGCAGGCAGAAAATGGGAGCCTTGAGAAGGTATCCATACAGAGTTCAGCAGTTAAGTAAACCAGAAGGACAGGCCTTGAAAAGGAATTCTTACTAAGTAATTATCTAGCTCCCACACAGTTTATGTACAATTAGTCTTCACTGAACCCTGATGGCCTGAACATTGAAAAAAATAGAGAAAGAAAAACAAAAGTAACAATATGGTATCCTAAAAATATCATTTAAATGGCATGGTAATGTGGATATATTAGAATTTTCCTTATTTTGCTTAAGTAGTTAGTGGGGTTGTTACCTAACATTAATCCAAAGTTCCGTAACCTTGGAAAATAATGTTTTTCTATGAAAGATGTGAAAAACTCATTTGTGGAATTTTTGTGTTTGTGAAAATATGTATGATTTGTCAAGCAAATATATCTATATTAAAATTAATGTTACTCAGAAGGAAGGAGTAAAAATGATAAACCCCCCAAAAAATATGATATATAAAAATATACTGTTGCATTAAAATGCTGTTGGTGAGCATTTGTGAGCAAAGGAATGAAATCATTTCATTAAAAATGCTAATAACACCAATATTAAAAATTAATCTTCCTCCATGTGGTAATTAACCCACCAAAGCATGTTGCAAGCTCCAGAGCAGAGCTGTGTCTCATAATATAATGGAATACTTCTAAAGAGTTAAAGAATGAATTTCAAAACATTTAATATATGTGTTTCTTAAAGTGTTTAGTTTTTACAAAACATTTATTCTTTGTTGTTTGGAATTCTAAAATCAAAGGGACTGTATAAAATGGTGGTTCTAATTTGTAACTAAATATCCCAAAGAATCAAAAGAAACAGCTGTTAGGCACATAAACAACATGATGCAAAGATCTGAGCTTTATGTCTTTTTCTTTACATGTATCTAAAATCAGAAAAGAAAAGGAAAAAAAAAAGGATTTCCTGAGAGTCTTCCTGTGTATTAAAACTAAAATCTCTAAAAAGCGAAGGGAGGGGAGGGGCCCCTCAAAGGCTCATCCCTTCAAAGATACTAAGATAGTTTAAGATTAGATATTTAAGAGTAAACAAACTATCTCTGCATTTAAACAAAGCAAAGATCATTCCTATGTTTAACATTTCAGATGACTAGCATGTAATACAAATGGTCAATTTATAGAGAAGTTTTTACAATTTGTTCCAACTTTGTTTTTTCTTCTTGCTGATATTCACAAACATTTCCATTAGCAGGAAGTGTCTCTTGAAATGCCATTTATATATATTCATCTACCTTTTGTTTAATGAGATAAGTTTGTAAAGGAATGGAGTGAAAACTAGGCTAGGTCTAAAGAGATTTGCTTTGCAGTCATGGCTCTGCTTCCAAGTAGGTTCGTGACTTTGGACAAGATATTTAATTTGCCGTGGACTTCAGTTTCCTCTGGACTCAATGCTGAATGATTCCATAGCAGAGAGAGAGAGAGAGAGAGAGAGAGAGAGTGTGTGTGTGTGTGTGTGTGTGTGTGTGTGTGTGTGTGTTTTAGTAATGTTGCTGATGCTGCCACCAGACATGGCTGGAAAAGGAGGCTGTTTGATCCACTAAGTTTACAAGTCCAAACTACAGCTAACGTTAAATCTTTCCAGAGAAGGTTTGCTTATTAACCCTGCTTAGAGAAGTGTGTCACCCACACATTTGAACTGCTAATGATTACCAGACTTTTATTTGATTTTTTTTTTTTTTTTTTGGTGGTGCTGGGGATTGAACCCATTGTGCATTCGAGGCAGGCCCTCTATCAACTGATCTATATCCCCAGAATTTTAAAACTGTCTTTCTAGTGATAACATCCTTCTATCCCAATAAAGTTTATTGTGAACTAAAAATTTTAAGTAATTTAGTGTTAACTGGGTAATGTTAAGATTAAAATAAGTTTGAGGGGATATAGCTCAGTTGGTGGAGTGCTTGCCTCACATGCACAAGGACCTGGGTTCAATCCCAAACACCACCAAAGAAAATAATAATAATAATAATAAAATAAAAAACTAAAAACAAGTTTGAATTTTAAAAGGGAAAAGAGAATGATAAAGAAAGTCTGTCTTAAAGGCATTTGCTTGTGGTGTTTTGCCATCTCCCAGTTCACCTCTCACGTCATTCACCACCAGGATTCAGGACAACTTGCCCTGTCCTCAGATTCCAGCCTGCCCTTATGACCTCCCTTTTCTAAGTCAACAGCTGAAACGTTGCAGGACACTGCACTTTGACAAGCACCTGCTTTCCTCAGATCATTTCTCTTTGCAACAACTGTTGAAGCCATCTGTTATTATCTACATCTTTCTATATGCAAGTACTTATAAGGCTATCAGAAAGAAATGCAGAGATAGAGTAGATATTGTTAAGTTCTT